TATATTTATAGATATTTGAATCTTTCACTAATTATTAATAATTCTAGTTTCAATTTTCACCGTTTTTATAATATTATAAATTACTATCGTTTTTATGACGTTTCTGGTAAAATCGTTTTCACGCAACCATCGTATATTATTATTTAGTATATTTACTGCATTATTACAATGGTAGGATTCGATTGAAGTGCCTAAGTACATATCTAATTTTAAAAGTTACCTATAGAGTATAGATAGATAGTATAGATAGCTGGTAGTGATTTTTTTGATTTTTCCGTCTAAAGTTGTGCGCAATAAGTTGTCTTATTGTAAGTATAGGTAGTACTTGTACAGTATTGTAATTTTTTTTTTAATCCACTTTTACTTTACTTGTGAAACTTTAAGTTCAATACACACATATGTGTTACGGTGTGAAGTTTCCTTATTGATTGAAAGTATAATCAAATGAAAAAAGTTTAAATCTTTTCAGCAATAAATCATATTATATCTAACACGAAAAGTGCGGTTACTATCGTATCCAGTCCACTCGTTTACTCAATAAATTTAAGCGATCCTGATGCAAACAGAGCGAGGAAAATTGTTTTATAAGTCCATGCCTACCTATCTATACTGCATGACATATCGGACCGAACTCTCCCCAAATTTTGAACGCTGACTGCTCCTACAACTATAATAATAATTAATATTATTGCATTATGCCATGATATGTTTTTCACAACCATCCACGACGTGCAAATGCGCCCCTTAGCGGAAAAATCTAATGGAATCTGATATAGGTTGTACAGTGAAAACGTGTATTATAATATAATACACGATAATCAAATTGTAGGGTGTAGTTCGTAGGCCGATCCGCACTCGACAACCGTCCGCCGACTCCACTGAAAATCGCCGTCGACGGCCAGACCACGACGGCGGTGTGCACTCTACCCATCGCGATATCCGCTGCGATCTCGACGTTTCCACGGCAACCGCACGCGTGTGCACACGAACACTGCAGCTCTCCATATTGGATTTAATTGCCCGTTTGTGTCACATAATAATACACACACACACACACACACACGCACACACACACACTCAAACACAAACATACAGTATGATTCACCAAGCACGATCAACCCCCTTTTTTATCCTTAAATTAATCATGCGTCGGATTTTCGGAATTTTTAAGTATACTCAAGATCCGAATATGCAGATATTTTGTATGGTGTCAAAAGTGTGTCCCGTGTCGATAGGTACCTACATAATATTTTTTTTCGAATGAGCACCCTCTTTTTTTCAACTTCAAACTATTTGGCAAACGAACAGTGTTCGGTGGCTTAAGTATATGTGTAGCACTCTGCACTGTAGTAGCGCAATGCTTTTTTGGGGGCCACGAAGGTAGCGTGCGGATTTATTTTATCGGCAGTTTAATATTATAGCGTTTAGCAAAAGCGACACGACAATTTTCCGTTTTCGCTACTACCTATATCCATACTTACCTGTTTACAAGTATTTACAGTGCATTGTATGACTAATAAAGTATTTTTATATTATGATAAAATAAAATAGATAGAATCAATGGTAAATTAAAAAAAAATGTTACAAAAGTATCTCAACAAAATACTGAAATTACGTCACTGTCGCTTGACGCTTCGTGTTCTAGCAAAAAAAATTCAAATTACGTTATTGTGGACACTGGCAAATGTTTAACAACCAAATACAATCGGATATGAAACTTAATTTTCTTGTTTAAATAAAAAAATAAATAGTGCTGTGTGTAGCGATTTGCATAATATAATATATTTTATTATAAATTAATGCTATCGACATTATGCACCGTCAGAGATGTACTAAGAGAGGGTAAGGGTAAGGGGACATTGCAGTGACAACGCTATAGATTCATCGCCGCCACTCCCTCAAATGCCCAAATCGTGATTGTAGCTTCTCGCTTTTTCTTTATCATAATGTTATGTATACGGTCTTAGTATTAATTTGGTAATTAGTAATTAAAGTGTAGCTTAGCCTTTGTGAAATCAATAAAGTGTTGACACCCCTTTTTTACAAGACGCGGTCGCAGTCGATGTCTATAGGAATCTCGTGTTAACATTATGTTGATTATGGGAGGGGAATATTGAGGACTATATAAGCCCTTCAAGCGATAAATCCTAGGAACATCTTACATCCGTAATAAAGAACCTCATTCTTTCCCGCTTATCGTGACATCGATCGATCGAGTCTTAAAACATTCGACGACACATTACAATAATAATATAAATATATAATACTATTCGATTCGTTTTTGTTCGTTGAATCATAATATATTATGGTAATTGACTATGTAGAATAGACAGTAGTAATGTATACAAATGTCTAAAATCTAAATAACTATTATGAAATTGATATGCGTACATGATAGGATCATATCTCCTTTATTTTATATTCGTCAAAACGGTGCATAAAATATATTATCAACTTTCAGACAATCAGACCTAATAATACAATAATTTTGTTATAATTTTTCCATTGTTGATAACTGCAGTAAATCTTTTTGATACCAATATCTGACTCTTGTTTGATTAATAATTATGACAATTCAAAATTAATATTAAAGGTACGTAATTCAGAATATATTGTGTAGATATATTTATATGTACTTGACTGGTTTTTTTTTTTATAAATATATGATTGCTCAAATGCAAATGTATTTAATAATTGAAACATTAATTTTACATTTGTTTAGTTTCCATATTTAAGTGCACATATATATAACTACATTGTATTCGGTATACCAATAACAATAAACTCATTAAGAAAAACTGTATACAATTTAATTTAATAATTTAATTGTTAGCGAAGTGTTTAGATCGATATAACATTATTATTATCACCCTTCAAAGAGTTATAGAATAAATGTTTTATTTATTGTACGCCTTTGAATAATTAATATTTTCCGTGACGTCGTTCTCGCGAATACGTAATCACACTATAAGCTTAACGTACCTACATGGCTACATCTTTTCCATCAGACATAATATTTTACTTACGTTTTATAATTTTAACTTTAACACCAAATGTGAAATGACTCTCAATGCCCGCATTCTTTGGGATTTCAGGGTTGTTAAATAAGTAGTGAGTATAAATCGTCATAATTTATTAAGTTAAGGTTTTGAATCTTAAAAACCTAATTATCGTCAAGCTACCTACGTTATGATCTGCATATTTGATTGTATAAAGTATACAAGATTGACGGAATATTAATTATATTTAAATGAGAAAAAAACATTACATCTGAGTAGGTAGGCCATATAGGAATTATTGTGAGTAATAACAATTGTTAAATAATTTTAAAACTTTATTTTAAAAAAAATAATAAAATAATATGACCGAAGTTGCATTCCTACTAATATTTTTTCCTTTAATGAAAAATGTATTCAAATTTTTAAATATACTTAAATACCATATTTTCACATTATTGACTCCTATCGTACTACTTAAGTCTTAAGGAGTGTCCTGTGAAGATACAATAAACTTCTATTTTACAAATGAGAATCCTCATTCCTACAGTAAATTATCAATATGTATTTATGTAGGTGCTTAATTCAAAATTTGAATGAATAGTTTCTAAATTATTTAAATGTATATAATAAAGATGATAATCCTTAAAAATTGTTTTACAAATATTAAATTTAGCAGATACTATAATATTATGAACTATCTAACCTAGAAACATGTTCATAAATGATAAATTTTGTTAGGTTAATATTAAATACAACACATTTGAAATCGCCATAGCCCCCACAACTTTTAAACACCATGGACCTTTTATCTTTACTTCATAAAGTAGAGTAACTCTACGGCTATTTATTTGAATTTTTATTTTCATTTCCGGAAAAATTACTAACTAAATAAGGTAAACTAAATACAATATATAGAAGGGGGGCCCCCCTTTGATAAACAAAAGTTTGTATCTCCACCGGGCACACCCTTAAGTACTCTCTTATGTAGTACAAATATTCTCAAGTATTTGAAAAAGTGGTCTTAGAAGCCTAGGTATATTAAATAAAAATCAGTTTTTGAATAACTGCATTGTTGAAGAAGAAGAAAGAAAGAAGTAAGTATGGCACATGCTTGGTACATATCACCCTGTATACATTTATTTATTGATTTACTTTAACGGTAACATCAAGATATAATAATTTTATTGTTCGCTCCTGGTGGGTAAAGACAACCGATCGACGTATAACAATAATGTTAAAAACCTGCTGGTAGTATAGTATTATATTTGGTGGAAACTACAATATTATGACCACCCGCAGCTGGTGCAGACTTTGTAATGGGAATCATCGAATTTTGAAACAATATACACTAGTTAGAATTTATATTATATTTAAAAGTCTATCACGCAATTGTAACTATATATAGTACAAGGCAGAGCCAGGCTAAGTAGGAGCTTGGGGGGCAATGCCCCCTTGAAATATATTAGCTAAATGATTTTCCACTGTTAAATAATTAATATTAATATGGGGACAATGGAAAAAATATTTATTCATTTGCCTCTAAAAAAAAGGAGTTTATAGATTTATAAAATTGTAACTCAATGGCTAATGTTATCCTCGTGATTAATATTTCTTCGATTTAATTATAATTTTTGGTGCCAATTCTGATGGATTTATTTATTATTAAATTTCACCAATGACCTGAATATTATATTACGTTAAAAAATACATCTGTATTAGGTACCTACTTACTTGTAAGAAAAAAATTTACATATAATTAATATTAAAATTTTTAAAAAAATCAGGTACAACGTGCTTTTATTTTTGCACACTTATTATGTCACCATTGGTCAATGATCTGTGTATAGTGTATACCCAACTGGTCGGGTCGGTTGTAAGGTCGTTCGATGTTCGAATGAATACTATACGACCCGAGGGCTTGATAAATCGGCCCACTGACGATACCAAGCGATCGTCGTCGTCAAAGGTTCAAGTATTTTTTATGTGCGTATGCTTTTACAGATTTCCGAGTTGAGCCACACCGTAATTAATGCGCTGTCGTTCCGGGTTGAATACAGACGTGGATCCGGCGGCACGGCCATGTTTCAGAGGCAAGTGCGATTTCAAATTGATTTATCGGACGTCACGAACACGCATTCTCCCAGGGACTATTTATTCGCCATCATATTCACGTTGCACTCCGGTACGTATCGGTCGCGGTCCGCCAATAAACGCGTATTATTAACATTATTGTTGTTACCACCTACCCATGATTATATTACTATGATTCGATTATAATATACGTAAATATACGTTTTGCTGTTTATTGTTGCGCGACACAGGTAATATAAGACGTTTCCGGAGGGTCTGCGAACACATTCAGACGCAAATGTGCGCGCGGAAAGCTCCATCATCGCCCCGGGCTACTAGAAAGTTTAACACGGACTTATCGGAAAGCTCGAGTTGTGGATCAGACACGTCCGAGAGATTATCGCCATACGTAAATATAAGAAACGTAAGTCGAAATTAAAACCCTATATTGCTGCTGCCGTAGTTGTCGTGTACGACGGCCGTTAATCACACAAGGCGCGTCCTATAATAATATATATTATTACCTATTAAACTATAGGTACCGAGTTGAAACAAAATTTAGGGCGTTCGCGATTTCTCGAGAGATAACTACGCTTATAACTGCTATTTTAAGAGCGCCCGCATATCGATCGCTCGATGTATAATGATACTAGAATGTAGGTAATACAATAATATTATATATAACGACGAATGATACTAGAATGTAGGTAATATAATAATATTATATATACCTAGGGATTCTATGTTGTTGTAGCCCTGATAAAGTATATTTTGTTCGGGTTGTACGGCGGCGGCGAAGTGATTATAAGTGTAGGATTGGTTGGGTTAATAAGACGTGTTATTAGGTATATCGTTTATCGACGGTGTTTTGTTTTTAGGAGGTTTTATATCCCGGTATAATTCCAGCCACGAAGACATGAAAGACAGCGTCACGCCAGAAAGTAAACCACTTAGATATTTTTCCTTTGATTACCTAATTAAAACATAAATAATAAATTCGAATTCGTTCTACCGATAATCATTGTACAACAATATTATCAATATCAGTATTACTAATAGTAACCAGTTGAGTACCTATATGATACCTATATGATACTGCAGTAGGCAGTATAATAATATTATGAATTATGATGTTAATATAAATTATATATTATAATTGCTAAATTTTACAAAATACCTTACTATCTATCTCTAATGAAAAATAAATATATTAACATCGAAATTCATTAAAACAAACTATATTCTTTCTTTTTATTAATTTATGAAATTTTCCGTAGTAGGTACTAGGTACCAATTAGCAAATCAAAAGTTAATAGAGGTAAAATAAAAACATACAATCATAGAAAAGCATGTAAATATAAATGACACCTAACCAGATCAACCTGAATAATATAATAATAAATTTAAATATATTATAGAGAACAAATTTTTAGATTTTGAGAGGAAAAATTAATGTATTATAATAGTACAATGATGTGTGTGTTATTTATTTTCGTGTATCTACAGACACTTTTTATAGTAGAAAAAATGTTTTTAATTTCAACTTCAATTTATGAAATGAAAGTGAGTTAAGTTGGTACTTATGTAAGAAAATAGGATATACATTAAAATAATAAAATTGCCTAGTACTCTTTTCGAATTAAAAGTTCACTTTTATAATGATATTATTATTCTTTTAATATTTTACATTGATTATATAAATTAAAATATAATATGATAATATAGTAAATAAACAAGAAACATAATAACAATAGACGTATTGGGTTTGGGTACACTTTGTAATATTAAAAAACGTTTCATTCAAAATCAATTATAAAATCAGAATAGGTATAATTGTATATATTATAATATGATGTACATTATACATAAATAGTACCTAAATTATACCATAAGTCGAAAATCTCAAGTTGACGAGAAACCTACTTAAACATTGTAGGTACCTATGGGTATAGCTCAGGAATCACGAACATTTTCGGGTCACTTGTCATAATTTTATGATAAAAATTCTTTAAAATTCATGTAATTTTTTGAATATCAGTTTATATTTTGTTAGATTTAAGCTCGGATTTAATGAAATACAAATTTCGTTATAGCTTCATCCATCGTTGTATATTATTCCATTGTTTTAACTTTTAATATTATGCATTCATTGTAGAAAAGTTTAAAACCTTCTGAACTGTATTTTGACTTAAATATTGAGTGTACCTATATAGAATAAAATAACCCCTTTTTTAAAAATGAGTTTCGAACTTTCAACATTTTATATTCATAACTTATTATTATTTAGAAATGATAAAGCATTTTTTTATTTTTGTTAACTTTCTTATTATTTTTATGAATTGCAAGATTTAACAATAAAATTAAAATATTTTCGCTTACCGTTAAGATTTGAGCAAACCTTTCAACCTTTGAACGCCACCACCCCTATAGTATAACTGAAAACACGATCAACCAACCCGAAAATTAATGTCTCACACAGTCACACTCATCTTTCTCGTCACTACATCCTTTTTCAGATATCTTCTCATTATTATCCTCCCTCGTTGGAATATAAAATATGATATTGTACGTTTGTACCTGTAACTGCTGCAGTGGTAGTGCGCATACTTGACGTCCTTTTCTAGTGAACATTTTTCCGCAATTAAATTATTTTTTTTTATCTCCCTTGCAATTGTGCAAATGGTTTATATTGTATAGCCAAGAGAAGAGGGTCATTATAATATTCTCCGACTCGCCGGGGTGGGTTTAAGGGGTGTGTTCATAGTACTTGAGCCCCCGACTGAACCAAGGGCACCTTAGACGGGCTTAAAACTATTTAAGTCAAAAATTATAAAGTATCGAAAAGATTAATATTTCTACCGTTCGCGGCGGAATTCGCACCCTGTCGCATTCGATAAACCCGTCTATTCAGATAAAGTCGGGCGATACATATCATCATAATCTTTATCACGAACCCAATGAAGACCTTCGAACGCGATATGATCGTAACAATAGGTCAATGTGAAACTGAATAGGTAGGTAACAATACTTTTATTGAAATCCCCCCTCCCTCCGAAAAAAAACCACTCCTAGTTTGGCTCCACCGGTATAATTCCCGTGCGAACAGAAACGAATCATCGAAGCGCGGTCATCGATCGATTGTGTTCGGTATACGTAACGATGTTTCAGATCGAATCGGACAGAGACGACAAGAATAAGAGACTGATCAGCCACCAGGACGGCAAAGGCGGTTACTGCATCCCCAACAGCCGGCAAAGGCGGCGGAGTTCGAGCCTGGCCAACAACAACAACTTCAACGGCAGCAACAACAATCCCATGGCCAACGCGGCGGCCGCAGCCAACGGTCGCAACGAGGCGCCGCCGCCGACGAGATCTAACAGCGAGACGAAACCGGCCGACGGCGCCTACATATCGGTGTCGGGATCGATGTCTTGAGGCCGACAACCAGAAAATAATAATATTATTATTATATAATTAATATATATATACTCCCATGTTTTTTTGGATCAGCCCGGATTAAGGGTTGGGGACAAGACTTGACATTTTTTTTTAGGGCCCTCTAATTGTTCACCATTTAAATTTATGATATTGTAATCATTGCCGTCTACCTACTTACTAAATATATTGCGTGTAAGAGAATATTTATAAAATGAATAACAATATTTTTTTAAGACAAAATTTAGTTTCTGAAAACAAAACACTTAATACTTTGTAAATGTAGACGATATGATACAACAACAGCTAGAAAACAATTTTTATTTGAATACTTATATGAGTTATAGGTACCTATATATTTTAATGTTTTATGAAAACGAAAATACAATTATGGACATTCTTTTTTTTATTATTTCACATTGGGAACTCTAAAAAATTTGGACCTGGGACCTCAAAAATCTTAATCCGGGCTTGGATCAGTGTACATGTCGTATAATATTATTATAATGTATAGAGCGAAATTCCACCGGGTTACTGTAAAATATTATTATTATTATTATTGTATAGTCGATAAAATTAATAAAATAAAAAAAATGATCGATGGTCACGCGGAATCTGTTAATGTGATAATAATATGATAATTATTATTGTTACATAAACTTGTGTATAAATCCAAATGCCATTTGACCATATTATAATAATATTAGCATATGTTATTAGATATAATAATATGTTTTTGTATTGATCGTTTATAATTTAAGCTTAGTGCACGAGCAAAAGCAACGCATAATTTATTATTATTATATACTATTATTGTTTTCGTAGGTAGTCGTTTTAGATTCTGAGCGGGAAAATGCTTATTATCGCTGTATATTATTATTATTATTATCATTATTACTTTGTATGGTTATTGTATTCATTACGGTAATAATTTATTATTGTGATATACTATGTTGTGTTTTTATTTTTGTATTTGTTTTGGGTAAAATGTGCTTAATTATTTTTGTGGGGGCGGGTGGAAATTACCTATATTGCGATGAGCGTTTCGAAACCTAAGTCAAGTTAACTCTGTTTGTCTGTTGTATAGATCATATTCCAATGTATGACGATTCGGGTTTATTAGCTGTACTTATATTATTAAATACAAAATATATTATGTATATTATGATAATATCAAAAAAGATTTTGCTATTTATTTTTTCGAACATAAATAAAAAATAAAAAAAAACCGCCGAAACAACTCCGCTCAGTATCGTCTTTTCATTATTTCTATGCTTTTTTATTGTTTGAACACGATAACGATATCGTTTTATACATTTTAAATTTAATAGTCCACTTATCCTGACGGCACACCCTAACCTCTGCAGCTTTTCTTGAATGCGGAGGATATGCTTTTTTCTTTCTTGTATCAATCTGCGTGTTTCAAAAACGTGTACTTAAGCAAACTTAAAGACCCCTTCAAAACGTCATACTTGTTGTAGGCGCATAATCCGATAGTCAATGAGCATAATATTATAATGGTATGTATATTTTATATGAACAAAACCTAAAAATTATTTATTGTTTTATTGCTGTACTTACTGCAATTACCTATATCTATAGCATATTATTCGTTTTTAGAAAAATATTGTAAAACGGTCTGTGTAAAATAAATGTACGTATTTGACATATTCGCTAGAATATAGTATATTATCGTATATAATATCATCTATTAATATATAATATTTTATAATAATATTTAACAATAAAATATGCAATACATAAAGGCATGACCTCCTTCATAATAATAATAGATTTTGTCTGCTTTCTAAAATCTATTGTTATATACCAACCTATTTTATCATCATCATCACTATTATTATTATTATTACATATTATTAATATTTTAGCTTTAGCTGTGGCCTGTGACTGATTACATGCATAATATCAATGTACTATTGAGAGGACGTAACACTGGTATTTGTTGTCTCCGTCTTACAGGTGCGTAACATGTACTCTCAACAGAACACTTGTAGATTCGTTAGTTTAAAAATTAGAGTGAATTGACCTATTATGAAACTTGATGGTAAGAATATTATTTGTATTTGTATGTTGGTTTTTTACGATAGTTCAATTTATTAGCAAGTTATCCGTATATAATAAACCGTAAATTAAAAATGCTCATAACTCACTTAAAAACTGAATTATCGTAAAAACCAACGTACAATCACAGATCATGTTCTTACCATGAGGTTTCATAATGGGGAAATTCACTCTAACGTTTAAACTAACGAAGCTACTAGTGTTCTGCTGAGCGTAAATTTGCTATGTTACGCACTGGTAAGAAGGAGTCAACAAATACCAGTGTTACGCGTCCTCTTAATACATCATGTTTTAACATTAGTCAAATTGAAAATCAGTTGAGATTGAGAAATGATAACATACCTACGCATATATATTATTATGAACGCTTTATAACGACTTGTAAAAATAATCGCATAGACTTCTGAAATGTATTGCTTTATTTTCTCTGATCTTATTAAATATTATCTCTTCGTGACTTTTATTAATCAATTTATTTTATTTTTAGCGAGGTACGTAAGACAAATAGGTGTTACATTATACTTAACTATTATATACCATAAAAATATGCATTTCGGAAATGTATGAAATTACACTATTTTTTTTTTCACTATGTGATTTTCCATCAAAATATTTTGTATATTTGTTTACAAAAAAAAAAATGTATATTAACGACAATGTTATTTTTCAAATTTTGTTGACCACTTATATGCCAACATTACATGAATATTACAAGTTTTTTAGCAAGCCAAGTCCATACGACCGAATTTGAGATAAAATTTTTTTTAATGTTTCAGAGTGCCTTAAGAGTGTTAACTAACAGTAATATACATGCTATAGTTCGAACGAATATAACATCTTTTTAAAGCTAAAACTTATTATAATATAATAGAGTGCATAGAAGTCAACTTTCTAGCACAGACTGGAATCCCTGTTTTTATGTTAATTTTGTCTGTTACCTATAATATTGTAATGTGTAACATTTGGCCGACGTCCATTTTAGTTTTAAACTATTCATGTTTTATGTATTACAGAATAAGGTATACTATAAAATATAATAATATGATGTTTATTATGCCAGTATGGCAATATGGTTGTAACAAAACTACAAATGTCAAATACATATTATACTTGTTAATAAAAAAAAAACTATACTTGTTGTATTTTTTTTACAATAGGTACAACTGTGTTATATAACAGACATTGTATGTCACAGTGCTCGAATTGGTCGTGGGGCGTATGTACACTCCCTCATATTGTTTTAATTTATTTTAGTGAGGTAGAACACGATTCCTAACGGTCCTTGTATCGGCAGGTTTTTGAACCTAAAGCGGTTTCGAACAGTTTTATTTACTAACTCTCATGCAACGTTGTCGTTTCAATTTGAACATAAAATAATAAAATAGCAATATTTAATTTAAAATTTTTTTATAAATTAATAAATTCATTTTTTAATATTCATTCTTTATGAAAGCATGTATTATTGTCATGAAGGATACTTCAAATGTATTTAAAAAACGATAAATATTAAACAATACGATCTATTGTCAACTATTTAAAACATTTAGTGAAAAAAAACAATAAATTCCAACCAGTTCTTTACAAGTTTTGCTAAAATCTCTCTCACCAATCTTTTGAGACATATGTCAAAAAATAAAAATTAATTCAATGTAAATTTGAACTAAAATATTTAAAATTTAAACGTGTTAGAATCCAATAGCTGGCGAGAAAATTTTGTTACACTGCAACATGGATATAAATAATATAATATGAATATAGGTAAGTCTTGTGACCATAATTTCAATTTGATCAAGAAATCTATAATTTGAAGATTTTGAGAATTTAAAGACACTTTAAGCCACTTCTCAAAATATAACTTCATTAAGTCCACTTTTAATTGATAACCTTAACTTCTGAAGTTCTGAACATAATTTATCATCGTTATTCGGTATAGTATTTATAAGTTACGTGTTTTAAAATCTCCAGATCAGTTGTTAATGTCACATTGCCACATGAATATAATATGTTAAGAGTTAGACGAAAAGTTGCAAACAAAGTTTGGATGAAATAAGCTTCCTTCGTATAAACTTCATTCTGTCTGCACATTTTAAATGAAAGGAACTTTCTGCAACTGAAGTTAAGTGTCTTAAAAAATAGGTCTCTTAAGAATTTTTGCGATGGCTGTGATCAAGGTCTTAAATAACTACCAGAATTAAAGCTATTAATAAAAAATTATTAGTTGAAGTAGAAAATCTAAAAAAAAATGAACTCTATAGTAATACGTCTGTGCATCATTCTGTTGAATTTATTTTTAACGAAATTAATGAGCTTAACCATTGAGCTAATAATTTATTATTCTATAATAATGAAGAATGTGACTCTAATCGGTCGGATGATCGTATTGCATTTGATCTTGTACAAATAAACATCGTTATTAAAACTATTATAGTCGACACGTCTATTAATCCTAAGAAAATGTTTCGCATTGGTCGTACACGCAAGCTGGGACTCACGTCCAATTAAAGTAATTTTTGATTCTAAATCTGATGTATTTTATATTATTAAGAATAAACGTAAGTTATTACAATGCAATGCTCCACTATCATCAATTAATATAAGTACTGATCGGATCCTGTATCAAAGAGAAGCTATGAAGAAACTACGTGAAGAATTAAGTCAACGAACTTCGAAGGGTGAAATGGATTTAAAGATCAAGTTCATTAATAGTGTCTCAACAATTGACAAAAAAATTGGAAATTGGAATTCATCTCTATTCATTCTCAATCTCAACAAACTCAACATTTTTTAAATTAAACGTATTATTTATATCAAAATGTAAGAGGTACAAATCTTCAAATTTTTCGTAATTCTGTTAATTAAATTATTAATACGATTACGAAATATAATTATTACGAAAAATTTAAACTGTGATTTATTAT